CACACACACTTTAGGCCTTCAGCCTTTACCGCGAAATTCAAGTCAACTCTTCTTGGGGACACAATGTTCCTGCTTTTCCGGGCCATGGGGGGAAAACCCCCAAAAGTGATGTGATATTGTGAAGACTAACATTTTTTTTTCTAGCTAAAGCTCAGTGATTGTGAGCAGGCGATAAACTGCCGTGCCAACTCTACCTTTTCTGCTTCACATGAACAGATGTGTGTTTGCCTCCTTAAATGTGTTTTGCATGATTTTTATGCCTCACTGCTCCTCAGAGTTTAAGTTCTTCTGCTACTGAGGGTCTGAACTGTTCGTTCACTCACACTGAAAACTGCATCAGGATGATTTTTCCAATAACTCTGATTATTATGTTCGGTTTTCTGAGTCAGGGTGAGAGATTTTTATTTTTGTTTTATTTTTTAATTCTGTCTGTGCTGTTCATGTTTCTCTGATGTAAAAAGATCAATTTGTTGTTTTTCATTTCTCAAGACTGAAATGACTTTATTTTTCATTTCAGAGTCGTTTGCCAACAATTTTCTGACTCAAACAGATAAAGCCAAGTCTGTCCGTCTTGAGGGGACTGTGACCATCAGTGCCACAGGCAGTTCAGATATTGGTGATGATCTCAGTTGGTACCTTCAGAAACCTGGACAGCCTCCCAAACTACTTATATACAGTGCATCAACTCACTTCTCAGGAACTTCGTCTCGTTTCAGTGGCAGTAGATCTGGTTCTCAATACACTTTATCCATTAGTGATATTCAAGCTGAAGATGCTGGAGATTATTACTGTCTGGGCTACCATAGTGATGGCACATTCACACAGTGGTTTATAGCTGTACAAAAACCTCCTTCAGTCTGGCTGAAGGCTGCAGGTGCAGAGTGTAGGAGAATATCTGGTTCACTAAACACAACATGAATCATCAACCACAAACACAATATATCTAAACAAAATTACACAGCTTTGTAGTTTTAACTCAAATTTATATATTTGCTACAGCCTCTAAATGTTTGGCTTAAGGGAAGCCAGCATTTAAAACTGCTGCCATTTAATCGCCTTTTAATAATTGTAACATAGTTATTCACAAAGGACAGACTGTAACAGAAAGATGACTATGAACCAACCATGCAATGGGCCATTAGATTCAGTCTACTCCTATGAACAAGTTCTAGAAAACTAGAATAATAGGTGTAGGATCTCTAAGTCGATCAGCAACAGTAGAAAAGTTTTTACAGAAACCCACAATGCACAAAAACCAATGCAGCTCACGCCTGGATGAAGGCTGGATATGGCACACATTTTAACATTGGATACCCTTCCTGACGCACCCTTATTCAGGGATTTGCACTATACACAGTCTTGAGCTACACTGTGGTACAACTATAAATCATACAGCCAATATATTAAACCACATAAACCAACCACAAATTGTTGTCAATACTTTACAGGTGTGTTCTCTCATGCACAAAGTTTTAGCTTCATTTCAAATATGAAAACTCACATTGATCAGCACATTAACTGTGTAATGATACTGTGGTCAGAGAGATTGAAGTGAGAAATGGGAGTATACTGTGATAATTTACACCAAATGTGTTGTTACATCTTCTTTTGTGATGAAAACAAAATGTGTACAGGAAAAGTTAAATTTTCACATCTGTTTGTTTCACTTCCTTTTTGCTACTTAAGACTGACAAACTTCAGAAACCTGGACAGCCTCCCAAACTTCTTATATACTGGGCATCAACTTGCTTCTCAGGAACTCCGTCTCGACTTTTATCTTTACTGTAAAAGTAAAGATAAAAGGTCGACAGGAAATTTATTAAAGCAATTTAGCAGAAGCAAAGCAAAATAGAAATCAAGTATTAATAATCACAAAACAATAATCAAATCATTAAACTATACTTATTTAATTAAGGTACTCTGAACTAATGTTCAGTTTCTTCTTATCTTTGATGACTAGAGGTTGGATGAAGGATGAGCACAACTGAATTGATGATTATCACCCAACAGGGTGTTCTTGTAGCCATCCAGTCAAGTTGTTGACATCTAATCATCCAGTGTCCACCCACAACCTATCTATCTCTCCATCTACCTGACGTACAAGATTTAACGCAAAGTTTAAACTTTAAAATCACTTTTTTACATTTCTTCACTATTCTTAACATAGAGAATTCACATCACATTTGAACATTTAATCACACATTGATATAATTCATTTCATCTTTCATCCATTTTATGTAATTCTACTTCAATTAGATGTGTCTTCAGCACATTCTGACATAAACATTTATTGTATCATAATCTCTTCTCTTCTTAATTCAAACGCAGAAGAATACTTCCTTTAACTTTTTATAACTGTGTTTGTCAGTCATCATTTATTTATTTTTATGCAACTTATTTTATGCAACTTAGTGGCTCCAGTGTGTTGCTTTCACCCCCATCCTGTACTGCACCCACACACACCAAGGTCAGACTCATTACAGGCTCTTAGTGAGACCTGTTATTAGAATCACTATCATTCTGTTTTCTGAAAATCACCTTTAAGTTATGGTAACTGGTACATGCTAAAGTTTAATATGTTGTGCTGTATTTTTGATCAGTATTAACTGATTGCGCAACTGTGTTGACCATCGATCAAACCACATTTAAATTATGATTCTGTGCTATTTTCCTGATGATCAGTTGGCGACATAGTTCTTATTTTCCTACATTCCTCCAGTCTCTTTTTACAACCAGGTCACACGGCACACTCAAACAACATTAATATCTTGTGACTGACATAAGATTTTACACAGTGTGAAGCTCCAAATATTTCTAACCCATGGCACTGACAGATTATTACCTTCACCAGGGATGTTATGTTTTTGGTAGCATTTCCGTGTGTCCATGTAAACATGATAGCTTAAAATAGTTTGAATGAATTCTGATAAAACTCAGGTCAAAGTGATAATAAGGCTATACAGAGCGATTAACAGACACTTTTGGAAACTAAAACATTTATTCACCCTTGTTAACGTATTAAGAATGTCTTAAATGAAGCAATAATACATTGTTTAAAATATGTAGTGTATTGGGTTTTCTTCGCTGCACTGTGGTTTACTTCGAGCTTTGGGTACTTAATAAGGTAATGCAGTAATATTTTTATACTTATGTGCAAGTGCTGGTAAAAAAAAGCAGTAAAGGTTTTTTGCACAATTTAAATTCATTTTCTTCATTTGGGATGTAGAGACTTGATGGAATTTAGAGATTTAACTAACTTTAAAGTATTTAAATTAATTTAATGAAAAAAATGCAAAATACCTATTAGCAAGATAAAAGTTAGAATGTAATGCTTTTTGTTGATCTAAAAAGGGAAACGCATAAAAAGTAACCAAAAGGGCCATTTTAATCCAGCTGTGAAATGATCACTTTTCAAATATATATATATAATTCAATATAATTTAAAAAAAGCTATACAGGTATATTGTATTTGTTGAAACCAAAATCAAAAAGTAAACATACAAACCAGAGTGCCATTTTAATCCAGGTGGTAAAAATACGTAAATATGTTTCCAATATATTTTCCTCTATTACATAAAATTATTAATGGTATTAATTCAAACAATTTTTCTTCTGATTCTGTGCCCCACATTGCCCTCAGTGTGTTGAGAGCAGAGAAATCATTTCCATAGAGAGGAGGCTTTGCATCATCAGCTGATCCTCCAGAGAACTGAGAAGGTTTATAGTCCTGTGACTTCAACACTGCAGGACTCACATCTGTCAGTCAACACAGCAGAAAGCACAACCACCATGACTCTCATCACCATCACCATCCTCATCTGGACGCTGACCTGCTGCTGTTTTACAGGTTCATTCACTCAGCAACATTTCAAACATGATGTGCTGCTTTTTCTCTCATTGATGCTGATAAATGAATAATTTGTTTTTGTCTGCAGGATGCAGCGGTCAGGTGACTGTGACTCAACCTCCAGTACTGACATTTACTCCTGGATCCACTGTCACTCTGACCTGTAGGACCAGCCAAGCTGTTCGGAGATTTGATGATGGTGATGATGCTATGTACTGGTATCAACAGAAATCTGGACAGGCTCCAAAGCTCCTAATAAAATATGCAACAACACTTGAGTCAGGAACACCAACTCGATTTAGTGGCAGTGGAAGCAGCTCTGACTTCTCTATGACCATCAGTGGAGTTCAGGCTGAAGATGCAGCAGTTTACTACTGTAAGAGTTACCACTACATAAACAGTGCTCGGGTGTTCACACAGTGATTTGTAGTCGTACAAAAACCTCCCTCAGTCAGACTGCAGAGACACTGAGCTGTTACAGCAGGAACTGACTGCAGCTGCTGAAGAGGAAGAGACTCTGACACAGACCACTGAACACAGTAACTTCACCAAGCACTAAATACTCATCTACACTTCTTTGGGGGAATTTTGAAATAAGGATTTATTTTTTAAACATCTGGTTCCACCAATTCACATTTTTCTTGTTTCTTTTTTACAATCCCCTAATAGTCACATTGCATTAAGACTATATTTTTTAAGCTTTATATTCCCAATATTGTCCCATGAAAATCATTAAAGCTTGATCGAAGCTTTAACTTGTTGTTGTTTGCACTTTTTAGCAGTGTTCTCTCTCACACAAAGTTTTCTTCAAAAATCATATTGATCATATTGTTCGTTTTACTTTTCCCACTGTGAGTTCATGCCCAGCCTCTCTGATCTTTGCATTACCACAGATCTACTTTCAACCAATTCTCTTGGCTTTGCGTTGGAGTGCTGCTGTATCAGTAGTTCTGTCAGTACAAAACCTAAAGTACCAAAAGGACAAGCTGTGGTTATCGCAATAAGCTCATGTTGACTATCGTGGGTGTCAGTCTGTCATATGTAAGGAATCATGATCTCGTCATCAGATCATGATGAGATTAGACTTAATAACCTTTCCTGGCACTGAACATCAGGTTCCTTCTTTGGTTTTTTTGGGTTACGTCATGTGGATAAAACATGTGCATGTGACAAAAAGAAAAAAGAAGTTTAATAGATCATAACAAGTTTAGGTAGTATGTTTTGCCAGCACACCAAAGCCATGTTCCTGGTTTTTTTTTTCAAAAAAACTTGATTGATTTTCAGCAGATGAAAACACTGTAATGTCACTTTTTTCTTTTCCATATGTATATATTTTTCTTTATTTACTGTGACTGCATTTGCAGCCATCACACACACAGGCAGACGATATTTACTTGCTATGCAAAAGGACTGTAAGAAGTTCTGTATTTTGTATACACCGATCAGTTATATCATTATAACCAATGACAGGGGAAGTGATTGATTGATTGATTGATTGATTGATTGATTGATTGATTGATTGATTGATTGATTGATTGATTGATTGATTGATATACCTTTATTAGTCCCACAAGGGGAAAGGCTGCAGAACTATTGCACGCAATGGCGGCGCCATCTTACCCTCCGACCATACATACATTACACAAAACATCA